AATTGACAAATACTATAAACTTTAACATCACTTAATATACTATTGAATGCTTTAACTTAAAATGAAAGGTGGAGAATGTTAGCAATGTAAGTTAATCTTATAAGTGTATCATGCAATTGGGCTTTAAATTGTATGTAGAATACAATTTGAGAAAAACAATTTTCCTTCCAGTATTCAAAACATATAGTTCCAAATGGCAAATAAATCTGTTGAGTCCTTGAGAAATGAGTGGAGTGAAAACAGATGTCTTAGATGCTGAACTGTCTTCCTATTGATTAAATCATAAATTTCTTTTAAAATTGGCAGAAGTTTCTGACCAGACTTTTCAACAAAAAATATAAAGACAGGGTCTATAAATACATAAAGAAATGCTCACCATAAAAATTTCTTAGAGAAATTGATTTAAAACAAAACAAGTTAATACTACTGATTTTTGGGCCAACAATTTAAAAAAATTAAACATCATATGTGGTCACAGGGATGAAGAAAAACTAGAATTGTCATTATTGTGGGTGGCTCAGAAGGCAAAGGGAATGACCATTTGAGATCACAGTTCTGCATATCTTAAAAAGTACAACACTCACCTATACTGCAACAGTTAGGTAAGGAAAACATCTATATATATAAAAGGGTAAGAGACTGACCATCTGACCATGCGACCGGCTGGAAGGTATGACATGCACTGACCACCAGGGGGCAGATGCTCAATGCAGAAGCTGGCAAGCTGCAATGACTTGGTAGCAGTGGTTCTCAGGTGACATACCCCACAACCAGAGAGGAGGGAGCCTGATTTCTCACGGGGCCATGCGATTCCACCTTTGGCCATGAGTTATGTTGTTGCTGGACCATGTTAGCCCCGAATCTGGTTTACTGCATACATGCATTTGTGTTCTACACCCTGTACGACAGGAAGTTTGCAGAGTGCCCTCTTGCACTCCAGAATCCCTCGAGGGATATCGGAGAGCCAGTTTTGGCCCGATCCCTGCAGGCCACACCGAAGGACCCCACCTGCCGGAGGGACCCCACTCAATCCACAGATGTCCTTCAAGCCTCAGTGCCAACTGGGGAGGGACCACGAGAGGTTGGTTCCAGGGCATGTCTGGCCCATCTCACCCAGTTCCGTCCTGCCAGCCACCTTCTAATTAATTGCCTTTCAATGTGCACGAATCCATGCTCCGGGTTACTAGTACATTTATATAAAGAACTGAATGTAGTGTTCCCAGCAAATTTATTTATAAAACCCCAAAGCTGGAAGTAAATAAAACCATAGACAGATCAATAGACAAAGCGGTTATTCACAGAACACAACACTATTCAAAAAAAATTAACTATTCATATAAGCATTAGTATTGAATTTCAAAATAACTGTGTAGCATGAAAGATACTAATATTTGTTAAAGAATACACACCTTATTGTGCTTATAATATTATTAAAAATATAAACTAATCTTGTAAAAGAAGGAAAATCAATGACTGCATGGAGGGGTGGGCAAGGCAGAAAGTAAGATTATGAAGGGGCAGGAGGTAAATATAGGGTATTGTAAGTAGGTTTAGAGTTGTTGGTATGGAAAATAATATAATCCTATATAATAAAAGGCTAATATGCAAATTTTACCTTCAAGTGTGAGTTTGACTGGGAGTTCGACCAGGGGGTGGGGCTGGCCAGCCAACCCTCCATGGCCCCTCCCCCTGGCCAGCGCTACCCCCATTCATCCCTGATTGGGATTGGCCAGACCCCACCCATGCACAAATTCGTGCACCAGGCCTCTAGTCCTAGTAAGAGCTTAATATGCTATGTGTCTGACTGTTCATTAGACTATTGGACTAGTTGCTATGACACGCACTGACCACCAGGGGGCAGACACACCAACCAGTAGGTTAGCTTACTGCTGGGATCTGGCCAATTGGAACTGGGCCAGATGGGCGGGACACATCCTCAAGCCCTCTCCAGCCCCAATTGTGCACCAGTGGGTTCCCTCGTCCTGGCCTGCAGGGATCAGGCTGAAACCAGCTGTTAGACATCCCCCGAGGGGTCCTGAATTGCAAGAGGGTGCAGGCCAGGTGAGGGACCCCACCGGTGCATGAATCCATGTACCGGGCCTCTAGTATAATTCGTATTGTTCACAACAAAGGACTCCTATTCTAGGTGACTATTGAACTCATCAATGACAGAGGTACCAGGCTGCACATTAGAACCACAAAGTCTTGCAGACTTTCTTTCAAAGCCTTGGTCAGCAATGCAAAATAACCCAATATTGGACAAAGAGTGATTTTCTGCCCTTATTACCAGTATGTGCCTTCCAAAGCACAAAAAGTTTGGGACCCCACAAATGCTGAGTCATACTAATTTTCTCTCTGTTTCAAAATATATATATATATACTAGAGGCCCGGTGCACAAAATTTGTGCGGGGGGGGGGGTGCATCTCTCAGCCCAATCTGCACCCTCTCCAATCCAGGAGTCCTCAGGGGATGTCTTACTGACAGCTTAGGCCCGCACCCCGTGTTTCTCTGCTTTCTGCGGGGCCTGCCTGCTTGCCACTATGGCAACGGGCAAGCAGGCCCTGCTGTCTGCTCTCTGTGGGCCCTGCTTGCCTGCTTGCTGCCAACAGAACTAAAAGGACTGGGGGACTCCAGCGGGGCTGAGGGAACTGGGCGCCGCCATCTGTGGCAGTGGGTGCCACCATCTTTGTGAGGGTGTGATGGTCAATTTGCATATTCCCACTTTATTAGATAGATATATCTATATTGTTAATTTCAGAGATAAAGGGATAGTGCGAGATAGAAACATCAATGATCAGAGAGAATCATGGATCTGCTGCATCCTGCACGCCCCCTACTGGGGTTTGAGCCCACAACTGGGCATGTGCCCTTGACCTGAATCAAACCCGGGACTCTTCTGTCCACAGGCTGACTCTCTTTCCATAAGAATAAAAATATTTTTACTGTATGTTTTAAATCCATTATACTTAAACCAGCTAGGGCCTAATTTACTCTCTTAAAGGAAACATTAAGAATTAAGGTGCTGCCCTGTTCAGATGGTTCAGTGGGTTGGAGCATCCTTCCACAAAGCACCCCCCCCCCTAAATAAAACTATGGCCTGTCTGCTTCCTGGTAAGGGCACATAAGTAGGTTGCAAATTTGATCCTTATTTGGAAAGCATAGAGGAGGCAACTGGTCCATATTTCCTTTCACATTGATGCTTCTTTTCTTTTCTTTCTCTCTCTCTCTCTCTCTCTTTCTCTCTCTCTCTCTCCCTCCAATAAATAATTCCCTGGGAGAGAATTAAACAATTATGATGTTGATGCTTCAAGCACATATGGTTAAATCTAAAACTATCTCTCTAGAACAGTTATCAGAATCACCTGAACTCAGTGGAAGTCTGTCTCTATCATGTAAGAGGCTAAAAGACTCAATAACACGGATTTCCAAAAACCCCTACACTATTAGTGTCATAGTCATGATCCCCACCTTGTTTTTATGTAAGCCATAAAATCTGATGGTTTCTGATTATAGTCATCTCTTTATTTATTTTTTAAATCCTCAGCCAAGGATATTTTTTCTATTGATTTTTAGGGAGAGTGAAAGAGAGAGGAAAAGACACAGAGAAACAGCAATGTGAGAGAAACACATCAATTGGTTGCCTCTGACCATGGCCAGGGCCCGAGGAGCCTGCAACCAAGGTACATGCCCTGGACCAGGACCAAACCTGGGACCCTTTGGTCCGCAGGCTGAGGCTCTATCCACTGAGCCAAACAGGCCAGGGCTCTTTATTTTTTTTTAACTTAGGTTAATCTTTGAGTGATAAAAATTAACTTTCCCATGGGAGAAGCTGTTTCTAAGGGATTCCAACATAACTTTAGACACTAGCGAGAGTAGAGCCCATGGTGAACTAGAAACTGTGCTTTCCCCAGTGAAACCCATGCTTTAATGTCTATAAATATGGCCAGTGACACAGGAGGCTTGAGTCAGCCAACTTGTGGTCTTTCTTAAAGCAGAGAATCCTCTGGAGATCACATAGAGGCTGGTGTTGGGATTTGAAAGATGATTTCCTGAGACAGATGTATTGTAAGTGCCTAAGGCTCCTCATTATCTCAAATAGTATTTCTTCTATTGCATATCCTGCCCCTTTACTGTGTCCTCCATCCAATTTTTTGAAATTCTTGGAAGCTTACCATCATCACGGTCTCTTTGTACATTTCTGTTTGTAATTTTCCTCTGGAGAACTATCCTTGTGGTGAGTAAACTAAAGCTCCTTCCAGATGCACTTTTACTCATAAATAAGCAAACATGTTTAAGCCCCTGGATTCTGTATGTGCATTCAGGACTGTAAATTTCCCTCTGGCAATGATTTTTCAGAATGGGCTGCCCATCAGCCCTTCTGAAGGCAGCCTGGGCCTGGAGGCAAACTGTGAGGCCTCCTGAGGAGAAGGTCAAGTCCTGCCACAGGGTCCACATGCCAGCCAGGACCCCCCTTTCTAATTTCAGTGTCCACAGCAGCCACAGTGACCTCCCTTCATCTCCCAAATGGGGAGAGGGGGGCATGCTCCCAGCAGGCCTTCCAACTGGACTCTGCCACCCCTTCCCAGATTGTCTCAGGGAGGCCCCCACTGACCACCACTGGCTTCACCTTGTGCCTGAGCTCCTGTCACCTGTCACAGCTGTCCTGTTCACTGTCTGTGGGCTGTTCTCCACTAGGACTCCAGCTCCTAAGGGAAGGGGGCTCTGTATCTCCGGAGTCTTGGACAGTTGGGTCAACAGTGTCCATGCCCTTGGTCCTTACAGGTCTCAGCTGTGCCTGCCCTTGGCTGCTGCCTCTACATCCAGTCAGATTCCAATTCTCATTCCTAGAGCCCTTCCCTCAGCCCACCCTCTCAAGGACCCTGCTCCTCTCCAGCCCTGTCCCAGACCCCAACCTCCCTGCTGCTTCACCCACACACCCCAGTAGCACACTATGCCCAGAGTTCAGGGTCCATCAACTCACTTCAGGAGCATGTCTCACCTTCAGTGGAACATCCCAGGCACAGCCAGGAGAGTGTAGAGGGGTGGGCTGTGTAGGCAGTAGAGCAGTCTCAGTGCAGCAGGGTGGATGTCTATCCATGACAGAAAGATCAGGGATGTTTCTAGATTGGTATCTGGAACCTCCTTTAGTGGTGAAACTTGAAGACACTGGTAAGGCAGGACAGGACCACCTGGCTTAGCAGCCTGCAACATCTCCTGCTGGGCAGATAGGGAATCAGCCTCTGCAGAGACAGCTCCTCTCCCTCCCTGTGCAGGTCAATGGCTGGAGCACTTCATTACAGTGCACTAGGTTGTCCCTGCCTGGGTCACAAGTTTTCTTGGAGCACATGCTGATCCCAGGTCATGCACAACCCCAACCCGGTAATCCATGTAGCAGAGCTTGCTCCATTTCCCACTAACCATGGCCCCAAAGAACAGAGTCTCCACCAGCCTGGACGGGGACTAGAGAAGGCCTCAGGGCCAAACAAATGGCCCAGCACCAACTCTCCCTGCAACTGCTCTGGGCCTTTGCCTGCCCAGCTACCACTGCTGCTTCCAACCTTTACACCTGAGATGAATCTGAGCTTTGCATCCCCCTGAATCCAAAATAGTCCAGTGTCAACATCAGTTGGAAGGTGCAGAGACCACAAGGGCCATGTCCAGGCCCAGAGCTTTTCACAGCCCCTTAGGTTTTAGTCTCAGGGAGCTGCTGGTTCATCACTGGGTATCTGGTCTCTGCTGATGTTAACATGTGTCGACCAATTGGATGAGTGGAAAATAAAACCCACAAGCCCTAGTTGGTTTGGCTCAGTGGATAGAGCGTCTGCCTGTGGACAGAAGGGTCCTGGGTTCGATTCTGGTCAAGGGAACATGCCGAGGTTGTGGGCTCAAATTCCCAGTGGGGGGCATGCAGGAGGTGACCGATCATAAGTGATTCTCTCTTATCATTGATGTTTCTATCTCTCTCTCCCTCTCCCTTCCTCTCTGAAATCAATAAAAATATATTTTAAAAACCCCACAAAATAAAGATATTGATTAGAGAGAGAGAAAACTTGGGAGGGAGAGAGGGAAATACATCCATTTTTTGTTCCACTAATTTTATACATTCACTAGTGACCTGGTGCATGGATTCGTGCACAATGAAAGGAAATTAATTAAAGTTACCAGAGGGGTGGGACTGGGCCAGTTGGGCCAGACACACCCTGGAGCCAACCTCCCGTGGTCCCTCTAGGCATCTGCAGAGCAAGCGGATCTCTCTGACTGGTGGGGTCCATCGGCCTGGTCTGGGGGGATTGGGCTGAAACCCGCGCTCGGAAAGCAATAAAAATATTTTTACTGTATGTTTTAAATCAATTATACTTAAATCAAAATTTTAAAATGTTTTAAACTTGCCACTTCCCTATTATTTATTATTTTATTATGAATGTTCTTGAGCATATTTGTACCTACTGTATCAGTATGTTGGAAATAAAATATAATGATTTGCTACTGAAATATATTTTCATGTCCATATTCAGTGCCATCATTTTGGCAGTTTGATACTAACCATGATGAGAGTATTTACAATAGGGTAATTAATTAAGATGAGAAATCTAAACTCTTTACTTAATGTATGATTGAATGCATAGACTTAAAAAAGAGTGCTGTAGAATGTTAACAATGCAGATTAAACCTGTAAGTATGTGGTATAAGTGGGTTTAAATTGTACACAGAATAAAAATGGAGAAAAAAATTTCCATTCCAATATTCAAAACCTATGGTTCTGTACAGCAAAGTCACTTGAGACACTGAGGAATGAGTGAACTTCAAACATGTCTTAAATTGTGCACTGTCCTACTGGTTAGAATAATAAATTCATTTCAAAAACTGGTAAAAGATTCTGAGCAGACACTTTAACCTATGTGATAAAGACAATGTAAGTAAATGTATGGGAAAATGCTCACCATCTCCGGTAAATGGAATAAAAAACGAAAGTCAGTTAATACTATACTCATTTATGGGGCTAGTATTTAAAAACATTAACCATTACAGGTGCTGCCAGGATTGCAGAAATCCTGGAATTTTCATTACTGAGGGAGGGCGTGAAGATAAAGAGAATGGCCATTTTAGATAACAGTTCTACATATCTTACAATGTAAAACATTCACCTACACAACAGTTTGATAAATAAAACATGTCTATATAAAGAAGTGAAAGCAAATATTCCCAGATTTATTTATAATACCCCTAATCTGGAAATAACCAAAATTATAGACAAATCAATAAATAAAGTGGTAATTCAAAGACTACAATACTACTAAAAAAAACACCTATTCACATAAACATTTGTGTTGAATCTCAAAATAACAGTATAGTATGAAGGAAACCAGTATTTGTTAAAGAGCAAACACCTTCTAGTGCCTTTCAAATTATGAAAAATATGAACTAATGTGTTGTAATGGAAGGTAAAATCAATGCGTGCATGGAGAGCTGGGAACGGCAGAAAGAAAGATTATAAAAGGGAGGAGGTAAATATCGGGTGTGCCAAAAGCAGGGTTAGAGCTATTGATACGGAATAAAATACAATAATTAGTAATAATAATACCGGAATATAATGTGACCTGACCAGTGTTGCTCAATTGGTTGGGCATCCTCCCTGACACTTAAAGTTCAGTAGATCCACTCCAGGTCAGAGCACATGCCCTCCCTGGACCACAATAGGGGGTATGCAGGTTGCAGCAAATTAACATATCTCGGTCATATATATGTTTCTCTCTCTCCCTCCCTTCCTTTCTCCTGAAAGGAATCGATAAAAGTAATGTTTTCAATATGTTTAAAGAAGAATAAATTCTGTGTTTCGGGTGCTGATAACTTTAACTTTGGCCCCACCCTGTATATTGGTGACAGAGAAGTGTATTTCATGTGTGATTGTTTCAGTTTTATCTCTATGTCAAGGCTCACCAAATAGCACACATTAGAACAGTGCACTTTGTTGCATGTCATTTCTCATTTCTGGGAGGGACAGCCTTACCTCAGTGGCAGCAAATATTGGCAAGCAGTGGACTATTGCCTTTGGAATCAACAGGAGGCTGACTGGTTACAAAGACACATCCTGAGACTGATTACAGGATTATTGTTCCCTTAGCTTTGAGGTATTGCCTGTGGAGCAAACCTTAAGGTGAACACCCTAGAGGGGCCAAGGGTATCCAAATAACTATTAGAGTATTTTCTCTGACAGTGACGTCAGCTGCAGGAAACAGTTAGGGAGAACCTGAGAATGTCTGTACACAAAGATCACACAAGCCACAGGCCCTGGATCATTTGTGGAAAACATTAAGAAGAGGCACTTTTCATCTAACTTCCTGCAGTCTTTCCCATTCACTATAAATATAGTGTTTCTGTCCTAATTGTGACTCCATATAATATCAGATTCTTATAACAAATTACACTAGACTATGAAATTTCATACATCATGGCACATGGCTCCTTTTTAGTGTGGGAGAGGGGGAGGATTCCCACTAAATATTGCTGAGAATTATAAAATACATACTGTGAACAGAAAATATAATTCATATTGTTAACAGAAGCACAACAAAGGCCTCCTCTTCAGGGAGATCATTGACCTCACCAAAATAGAGGCACCAGGCTACAAATTAGAATGACAAAGTCATGCGACTTTCTTTCAAGGCCTTGGGCAGCAATACAAAATAAGGCAATATTGGACAAACAGTGATTTTCTGCCATTACTCTGTGCCTTCCAAAGCACAGAAAGTTTGGGACCCCAACATATCTGTTCAACTCTCCATGCTGACAGATCACAACTTTCCTTTCTAGTCATCCCAGGCAGTGCATATAACCAAAATTTAAAGGTACAAAAGAAAAAACATCTTTAATAAAAGATCATAAACCGGAACAGAGGACAGCAAGTGGTTGGCAGGCTGGTGAATCAGAACCTGAAACAATTCATCACAGCATAATGTGAGAACCACAATGTCCCTGAAAGAGGCAGCACTCCTTAGATTAGGATGAGTGGTCTGGACTAACCCTGGGTCAGATGCATTCCCTAGTCCTGTGGTCAGCAAACTGCAGCTCGCGAGCCACATGCGGCTCTTTGGCCCCTTAAGTGTGGCTCTTCCTAAGCCTTAGGAGTACCCTAATTAAGTTAATAACAATGTACCTACCTATATAGTTTAAGCTTAAAAAATTTGGCTTTCAAAAGAAATTTCAATTGTTGTACTGTTGATATTTGGCTCTGTTGACTAATTAGTTTGCTGACCACTACCCGAGATAAAGGAATGAAGATCCTGTCAAGAGCTTGCAGTAATCATAATTTTCTCAAGCACAAGTGAGAGCACAGACTACATTTCCCCTGAGCACGAAGGGGTTAGGACTGATACACACTCTTCAGGTGAGCCAGGTGAAGAGGTGAAATCTCTTCAGCCACAAATGCTCGCTGTGACATCAATCGGGTCATAGGTCTGGGCATGTTAGCAAGTACAAATGCAGCTCCTTCAAGCCTCACCTGTTCCTGAAACTTACAAGGAATCTAACAGAGTGTATGTTCCATTATAAGGGGTTTAAATTCAGAAAATAGGTCCCAAAGAGTTGCCTTCAGTGTTGTTATTCAGTTAGAAAAATAAAACATTCCCTGCACATTTAACACTTCTCTCCAGTGTGAACTCTCAAGTGTGTAATAAGGCTAGATTTTTGGCTTAAAGACTTCCCACATTCAGTACACTCATATGGCTTGTCTCCAGTGTGAACTCTGAGGTATCTAGTGAGGTGAGTCCTTCGATGAAAGGACATCCTACATTCTCTTCACTCATATGGCTTGTCTCCAGTGTGAACTCTGTGGTGTTGATTGAGGTGAAACTTATGTCTGAAGGACTTCCCACAATCAATACAGTCATACAGCCTTTCTCCAGTGTGAACTTTCTTATGTCGAACGAGGTTAAACTTTCATCTAAAAGTTTTCCTACATTTGTTACACTCGTAAGTCAGTTCTCCAGAACAGACACCCTGACACTGAACCACTTTCAGGTTGTGGCTGGCAGCGTTTTCACATCCACCCCACTGGTGATGACTTTTTCCATCAAGAAATTCCTGTGAAATCTCA